CATAAAACCGTGAAGCGTTGGTGACATGTGAGCGACCAGCGCTGTGACAAGTGGGAGATCAACGTTCCACTCCAGAACCACCAGCGGCTTGGATGACCCTCCAACGAGATCGAGGTCGGGCCGAGCCATTGGTGACAAACTTGGCGGAAAATTCAAACAATGGTCCTTTCATCTCTCTTATTGATTGTCAAGCCTTTCTCCTCGCGTGCCTTTTGTCGAGCGGGAAAGTCTTGATGGCCGTTTATTCCTTTTCTTCTCTTTTCCCCCATCTTCGCTTGAACTCTCATAAAATTCTTTTATATTCGTTTCTGTTTGTACATGCTCTGATAATGCAGAGAGTGATAATTAGTAATGTTTAGTATTAATAATATAAATTACTACTTATTATTTGGGGAAGAGCATCATTGCTTGATACAAATATTTATATGTAATTCTACTGTCCTAAAAGTTTTTTTTTTGCTTATCCCTAGTACACGTGGTACAGACCATGATAATCATGGTGGGTAGAAGGCGACTGCTTTTACTGTAAGTGCACCACTTGTCTACACATGTGAAAAGCAGTTCGACTTTGCACTTACAAATAAATATGCCAGAATCCCGTTTGGTTACTTGCACTATCTGGTTGAGTTGGTCTTTTGCAAGAATAGGGGGACATTGAAGCCATTTTTTTTTTAATCAGAAAAAAATGCCCAATGCGGGAATCGAACCCGGGTCGTAGCGGTCGTAAACTAACGGTTTATACCAGCCTTCCACTGACCCCCCCACTGTCCTAAAAAATTATGTCCATAATTTTCTTGAAAAAAAATTCTAAGATTCCACTCTTCATTGCAGCAATATATAGGTAGAATCGTCCAATACAGTATTAAAGCTCTAAGAAGCGGTCTGGTTGATTAAATTTGCGAAACCGCTGGGAGGGTTCACCACTGATGACCAAGTCCTCCCAATATTTTTCATCGTAGTAAGGACAGTAGAGGTTTGTTTTAAATATAAAAGAAACATTCAAGCTTTAATGCTTCCAATTCTATATACAGTTACGAGCGTCATGCGTTCTTAATAATTTTTCATCTCTGTCACCGTTTGCTTTTTTTTTTTGGAATGGCGCTCTCCTATTGGTTGGCTACGATCACGCCACCTTTGCCCCCCCCCACTCGCTTTTTGGTTTTTGTAACTATTGTGTTGGAGCGGGTCGCTCCTTAAATAAATGCATATATTAGTTAATAACTAAATGGAATCCTCTCTTTCTTTTTCCCAGTAAGAGACGCCTACGGAAGCCAACAGTACATAGACAGATAAAGCACATAGGCTATAGTTATTAACTAATATATGCATTTATATAAGGCGCCAATTTATAATTGTAACAAATAGTATTTGAATCAAAACATTCAATCGGGTAAAACACGGGCGTTGCCCGGGTCATTCGGCTAGTTATTATATATTGATGAAACGTTATCGCCTCATATAAATTACTGATAATTAGTAGAATTAAGATTAATTAGTGAGAGAGAGAGTGCTAGTAATGATATACTTTATTTTTCATCAAGATCACAAGTTTTTCTCTAAAAAGTGTAGCGAATGGTCAGTCTATTTACATATTTTTATTTACAACTTCAATATATAACAACAGTAAAAGTAAACAAAGATATTTACATTTGTTATCTTGACTCCTGGTCAGTGCTGTGGCCCTTGCCGTTATGGTCCCCTGATGTCCTGCAGTCTTTCTATGACTGGTGGTTCCTCGATAATATGATCCCCTGGCCTTGATCCATTCTTGTCTGTCAGGTGTCATCTGCTTTAGGTCGTTCTCCTGGATCTCTTCTATGGTCGTCGTATCCCTGTGCTCCATGTCCGGTGTTCCTCGTCTTCACACGCCAGCTCCCTTCATCGTTCCAACAATCTATCCATGGCTTCCATTTCTTTATTTCTCTGTAACTTATCGTGAGGTTCATTCTTCTTTTCTGTTGAGATCATTTCCATCGTCTTTTTTAGCACCAAGGATTGAATATATGCGAAGTCCCATTTTCTTATGTTTATTTCCTTTCTATATTGTTTGTTATATTTGGTTACTATTCTATCCCATGTTAAGACTATCGGCACTACTTTTACGGGCATTTTTTCGTTTTGGGCCATTTCCCTCGCCAGTAGCTGGTATTTTCTCTTTTTTTTTTTTGTCAGCTCCGTAGTTTGGATATTGTCTTGGGAGGTAACGCCTATCTCTATGATTGTTATGTCTTTTTTATTTTGTCATATACTATTATATCAAGTTTGTTAGCATAATATTAATAATAATAATTCGTTTAAATTAAATCATCCAGAGAAGGGTTTTTTTAATGAGAGATTACACGTAATTTATCTAGCATATTCGGGTTTAAAGAAGGCCCTTCTAAAGAGAAAGAGAACTATATTAAAATATTAGAAACAAAGGATTAATTTATTTTGAGTATTTAGCTTGTGTGTAGTGTAATAGAAAAATAATTAATTTAGAGATATAGCGATCAGTGTTAATAATAATATAATTTGTAATAGTTTGTGTGTAGTAGTAATAATTACTAATTCAATTCAAGTTTATAATACAATATAATACCGCTTATGATTGTAGAACGACATTTGAAAATTATCCAGCATGTGTTTCTTTTGAAGTAAAAATCGAAATTCATTTTAAGGGGAGAAATAACGATTATTTCTAACCTTAGGGATGAAGTATAAAATAATGAATTAAGAAGAGTAATGATAAATGGAAAAATAAATCTTAAAATAAGGTTAGAAATAATCGTTATTTCTCCTTAAAATAAATTTCGATTTTGTTCAAAAGAAACACATGCGGGATAATTTTAAATGTCGTTCTACAATTAAAGCTTGTATTCAAGTAAGTGTGTTAAATGTATATATAACACAAACAGCAATAATATAACACCAAAACATTTTTCTATTCTTAATAGGGGGGAAATTAAGGCAGAAAAATAAGATTTTACACAAAAATGGCCATTTTTGTTTATCCGCACAACGTGATTGGAATCAGGGGTTCACGGTTGACATTTATGACATTCTGAGACATTTTCTGACAGACGACACCTCTAATATTTCACCAGACGAGACTTTTGTGGCATGTTGGACACACGTGATGTAGAGGTATGTATGTACCTCACGCATGCTTTTCAAGAAAAACTTAAATCTTTTTACCCCTTTTAATTTACTGTCTCGTTTTTTTTTTATATATAAGATCAGGAAAAGGTTAATCCCTTTTTTTAAAGTGGAGCTCACTGAGATAAAATCTGAAATCATCCATACTAACCTCTCCAGAAGTTAAAAAGGCGAGGCTGATATTGAGATCTAATTTGTTGATAATTCGAATATAGGTGTGCGTGTTTTGGGGACCCTAATTCGAATCGCCGAATTTTATAGTTTATTATATACACACTCATAGACAAAACTTAAGGAAGTTGTACCTTTTAGCATATATATCTGATTTCAGACAATAACTCTGAAATATATCACAGTGACCTTTATTGAAGACACACGAGATAACCAAGTGTGAACAACATTACCTCTGTCTCCTTCAACAACAACAACAAAAAAAAAAAAACAGACGACCGGTGATATCAAAGACTTTCCATTTCCTTAAGTTTTTTTTAATGAGTATATGAGAAGGTTACTTATTTTTAAATTTTTGCAAGTGTCGATTTTTTTTTCCACTTATACATTTCTCTCACTGTGGGGTGGCCTAAATAATACAATATTTTGAAATGTGATTGTAAAATATAATCATTTATTTTTCTAAAAATATCGCGCAATCCATAAGATTCAACATCAAAATAAAAAACGGCGCATCTCTTGGATCTTGAAACGTATTGCTACGATATTGGTACGTATTGATGAGTGAAAAAAAAAAAAAACGTTGTATTGTTGAATTTTTTATCACAAGTGACCTGTCCTTTTTAGCACCCATATTTTTTTCTTTTTTTGCTTATCCCTAGTACACGTGGTACAGGCCATGATAATCATGGTGGGTAGAGGTAGTCTACTGCTTTTACTGTAAGTTCACCACATGTCTACATATATGAAAAGCAGTTCGACTTTGCACTTACTAATGTGCCTGAGCCCTGTTTGGTTACTTACACTCGCTAGTGGGGTTGGACTATTTGCAAGAATCGGGGGCCATTGGAGAATTTTTTTTTTTTAACAGAAAAAAAAAAGTGCCCAATACGGGAATCGAACCCGGGTCTTAGCGGTCGAAAACCAACGGTTTAGACCATCCTTCCACCGACCGTCATAGCACAGCTATATATATCACATATATAAACCGGGGTCGGTGGAAGGCTGGTTAAACCGTTTGGTTTTCGACCACCGGGTCCTAGCGATTCCCGCATTGGACACTTTTTTCTGTTAAAAAAATGCTCCAATGGCCCCATTTCCTGCAAAAGTCCAACCCCACCAGCGAGTGCAAGTAACCAAACGGGGCTCTGGCACATTTGTAAGTGCAAAGTCGAACTGCTTTTCAAATGTGTAGACATGTGGTGCACTTACAGTAAAAGCAGTCGCCTACTTCTACCCACCATGATTATCATGGCCTGTACTACGTGTCCTAGGAATAAGCAAAAAAAAAAAAAAAAACATGTATAAACCGTCAATAGAAGTTTTACCGAGTACATGTTTGCGCGGGCAGAAAGCATAAGTACCGTAAAAAGCCGACGAATGTGTTTGCCATCTAAATCTGGAAGGAATTCTAAAGTTAAACATGTTTGTTTACGCTTCGTCCACATTTGGGGAGATCATGTTAATATCTATCACACTTCACATGGATGGAAAATATAAAACTTTACATACACATATTGTATATGTTGGTGAAAGATACCATGGCCAAATATATACATTTATAATACAATATAATGCGGCTTATAATTGTAGAACGACATTTGAAAATTATCCCGCATGTGTTTTATTATAAGCCGCATTATATTGTATTATAAATTACTTTATATAATATTTACGAACGGAAAAATTATGTCCTGGGTAGCCTAGTGGACATGGCATCTGCCCGGTAACCGGAACACTGTGGGTTCGATTCCCATCCCTGGACACTTTTTCCGTTTATCATTACTCTTCACAATTCATCCTTTCATACTTTATCCCTAAGGTTAGAAATAATCGTTTTTTCTCTTCAAAATAAATTTCGATTTTTCGTTCAAAAGAAACACATGCGGGATAGTTTTCAAATGTCGTTCTACAATTATATTCATATTGTTGTTCCTTATATAAAATGAAAGGATTTAAAAAGAACGAATGT